GTCAATAAACAGAGGACACCTGCTTGAAACGGAGGTAGAATTTATTCAACAGCAGAAATGAACAGCACAGCCATCAAACAGGGCCACGTTTTATAAGGAAAAGTTGGAAATATTTGTAGGATGGTTTAGACTTTCTTAGTAAAGCATCTCTATGAATTTATCCAAGCTCTTAGTCTGTCACAAAGCTGATATTGTTTTTAATTCCAGAGATTCTAAGCTGTTTTTCTCTTGCTGTGTCTGCAGTTATTTACTTATTTGATAATGTGCAAGCAAGGTTTGGATTCTGTCTAAGATACACACACACACACACACACACACACTTCGCTCATCATGCAAAGAATTTTCCTTTCCCAAAAGTTTTATTATCCCTTTTACCTACATTGCCTTGCTTTCTGAATATTGCACCTACTTTATCATTTTAATTTGAGCCATTTTAAAGGGAAGTCATTTTTGTAGGCTATGTGTTCACTGCAAAATAGCATAAATTCTACCTTTTATGAATATGTCCCAATTCAGGGGTTATAAAAGGGCTTTGGAATCTTCAGCTACATTAAATGGATTCTCGCCTTCTCCCTCTTTCTCATTTCATGAATTTCTAAATTGTGCTCTCCAGTTATTGCCCATATACTATATCCTGCCTGCTTTATAGCCAGGAGGAATATATAATTGATCACTAAAAACGATGAATCATAGAATCATAGGGCTGGAAGGGTTAAGAAAAAATAACAAAATAACAGACTTGGAAGGGACCTTGGAGGTCTTCTAGTCCAACCCCCTGCTCAAGCAGGAAACCCTATAGCATTCCAGACAAGTAGCTGTCCAGTCTCTTCTTAAAAGCTTCCAGTGATGGAGCACCCACAACTTCTGAAGGCAAGTCTTTCCGCTGGTTGATTGTTCTCGGTGTTAGGAAGTTTAATTCCAGGTTGCTTCTCTCCTTGATTAGTTTCCATCCATTGTTTCTTGCCTTCTGGTGCTTTGGAAAAGGGGTTGACCCCCGTCTTCTTTGTGGCAGCCCCTTAAATATTGGAACATTGTATCATGTCACCCATAGTCCTTCTTTTCCCTAAACTAGACTTCTTCATAAATTTTAGTCTCTTGATTATCTTAGTTGCTCTGCTCTGCACCTCCAGAGTCTCAACATCTTTTTTATAATATGGTGCCAAAACTGGATGCCGTATTCCAGGTGTGGTCCTTACTGAGGTATTATAAAGCAGTATTAATACTTCATGTGATCTTGATCCTATCCCTCCATTTATGTAACCGTGCACAAACTGTTTAGGCAAGGGACCTTAGAGGTTTCCCTGTTTTTAAATTCCATTTCTATCTGATCAGATATACCAGGGTTCCTGTTTCAGAAAGAGCTCACCTAAAGCCAGGGGTCGGATTCTACCGTATCGGACTGGTTCGGGTGATCCGGGAGTTCCGGTGAGTGTTTGGCCCCGCCCACCTGCCCTTGCTTTTTGCTGTGCTTTATTTCCTGGGGTTCTTTTTTTTTTTAGCACAGCTGATTCATGCGACAGAACGGTTTGCCACGCCTCAGCTATTTCAGTCACCGGGGCCGCAGTAGAAGGTAAGTAATTGAGTTGAAAATAAGCTTTTTAAAAATGTAGACCACGCGCGCCAAGTGTGCACTCACTGAACCGGTTGTTACACCGGTTGAATTGCACCACTGCCTAAAGCTGTTTAGAAAACTAGCGGTATTTCATACAATCGGGGTCGGGATTCAAATTTTTTAACAACCAGTTCTGTGGGTGTGGCTAGGTCGGTGTGGCTAGGTCGGTGTGGCTAGGTGGGCGTGGCCATGTGATCGGTGGGCATATTTTTTTTTTCTGTTTTGCAACACCCCAATTTTTTTTGCCTCCAAGGTGGTGTTTTTGCTCCCAGGAAGATTTCCTAGGCCCAGGAAAGCAAAAAATGGTGCGCAGGGAGGCGGGGGGTTGGGGGGGGCCGTGTAGCTCCCCCCCCCACATGCTCCCTTTTGCCTCCTGGGCCTCAGGGAAGCCTCCTGGGTGAAGCAGTAAGACAGCAAGCGGGATCCCAATACAGCTGATCATCAGAACAGCTGATTGTAGGGAGGGGAAAAAAGAAACACCTTAAGGAGTGACTGGGTAGGGGAGAATGCAGCCAGCGATGTCACTCATGCGCGATAAGGACTGATTGGGCGGGGAGGGGAGGGGAGGATGGGGAGGGGTGGGGTGGAGCCAGCCAGGGCATTATTTGCCAGTTCTCTGAACTGAGCAGATTCATAGCAACCGGTTCGATAGAACCGGTCTGAACCGATAGAATCCCATCCCTGCCTACAATGCATCAGGCAACGGGATAGAATTCTGCACTCAGGTGCTTACAAAAAGTGCTATGGCTAATTTCTAACTTTAAAAGGTTGCTTTCCCCACCCCGCTCTAGTGGAAGGTCGCCCTAAATCCTTTTCATATGCTAAATTGCACTGCAGATAAAACTGGTTTCATAGGAGAGTGGGGAAATCTTAAAACTCTAAATTATAGGTAATCCTTGATGGACAACCACAATTGAGACTGGAACTTTTCATTGCTAAGTAAGGTGGTCATTAAGTGAGCTGCACCCAATTTTACCATCCTTTTTGCCATGGTTGTTAAGCAGATCCCCATGGTCATTAAGTGAACCAATCTGCATTTCATAATGTGTGGAAAACTTCCTTGGTTCTGCAAGCTAATAACGACTGTTGGTGAACCCCTAGAAATTAAAGGATATGCTTTGTCCTACATCCCACAATGGGTTAATTTCTGAAACACCCTACTGTAAGACAAGTCCATTAACTTAGTTGATTGTGAGGAAATTAGTATCAGCATTTATTGAAGCCTGCTGGGTTCCTGATTGCTGATTAGGAAGGTTGTCACTCCAGTTGTTGCATTTAATTTAAAATGAAAAATGGGGATTGCCACAATATTGAGTTCATCCAACGCAATGTATTGTTAAGGGTAATCTCTTCCTTACCACATTCAGCTTCCCTCCCATATAGCTTTTCTCCAAACTTGTACCTTCTTAAAACTTGGACTACAGCCCCCATTGTCCTTAGCCGTGTGTAGTGTTCTTTTAGCAGAATAGCAGGGTTGAAAGAGATCTTAGAAGTCTTCTAGTCCAGGGGTCGCCAACCTTTTGGATCTCAGGGACCACCAAACTCATAATTTTAAATCCTGCGGACCACTAATATGAATTTTGACTGATGGTGGCTTGCTGACATGGGTGGGAAAGTCGGTCCCGTATTCCAGAGCTGCAGTAGTCACAGGACTGGCCCTTTGGTCATCCCGGAGCAGCTGCTCCTCCACCCAGGTGCACCGGCCTGCCATGGACTGGAGGAGCTGTTCCAGGATGACCAAAGGGCCAGTCCTGTGACTACTGCAGCTCTGGAATATGGGACTGACTTTCCCACCAGCCTCTTAGATTTTGGAAGACCGCTATCATGTAACATGTCCAAGATTTTCCCTTTTGCTTCTTTCTCTGTCCTCCTTAACACTTCTCCCAATCCAGCTCATCAGCATTTCGCTGAAGCTGGTCATGTTCGATCCATTGAGTTGATAATCATCCCTTACACTTTAAAGGTGTTTTTTTAAAAAAATCATCAATGTTTAGTTAACCAAGACTTTAAAAAACACACATGGATCTTACTATTTTAATTACAAAACCCAGTGTTTTCCAACCTGAACAATTTTCAGATGTGCGGACATCCCAGTCTTAACTTTTTGAGAGTTGAAATCTGCACATCTAGAAATTGCTCGGGCTACGAAATACTATCGTGGTTATCTCCGGAGAACAAATTACCTACTATGTGGAGTAGTGGTTGAGATTTTGGACTAGGATCAGGAAGAATCCAGGTTCAAGTTCACCTGGAGTCCCAGAGGCAGTGTTTTGTGTGTGTGTATGTGTGTGTGTGTGTGTCCGTGTTAGTGGTGAAAATGCTGGACTAGGATGGGGAAAAAACCTAGATTCTGGTCTTTTCTCAGCCATGAGGGATTCTGGCCCAGTCATTCTCATTCAGCTAATAAGCCACTGTGATGTTGTGGTATTGTGTTAGACTATGAATAGAAACCTATATTCAAGTTCTCTCTGAGTCACCAAAGCTCATTGGGTGACTCATTGTCTCCTAGCTGTCCAGTTTTAAGACTTGTGGACTTCAACTCCCAGAATTCCTGAGCTAACATGACTGGAGGAAGATTCTGGGAGTTGGTCCACAAGTCTTAAAGCTGTCAAGTTTGAAGACCCCGACATAAAGTTTGCTATTATGAGGAAACCTGGAAAAAGAAGTACTGTATTCTATTAGAAGAAGAGAGTGTAGCTCAGGATTGAACTGTGGAGTTCTTGGTGCTCACTGAGTTTGTTTGTTTTCTTGCAGACATTTCATTGCCAAACTAGGCAACATCATCAGTGCTAGTGAGCATGGGGTTTGTTGCTCTCTGTTTAAATGCTAATGATTTGACCTTATCAGTCTTGTCTGAAGACAAACAAGGTAGAAGTAAACAATAACCTAGTCAAGGAACCACCTAGATCACTCCCACCAACACTGACAAGGCAAGCCACTTGTATATAAACAGAGACCAAACCCCGTTCCCTTCTAGCACTGATGATGTTATCTAGTTTGGTAAAGAGATGTCTGCAAGAAGACAGCCAAGCTCAGACAGCACCGAAGACTCCACAGTATATTCTACATAATACCTGGCAAGATGTAGATCTATCAATAAATACATCATTATTTATATATTAGCTGGCGTGAGGCAGGTTGACCCTGTCCCCATCAGATAATATTCCAAAGACATACATTTCTCACACTTTGTCTTTTTAAACATTTTAATTAAAAAGAAAGAAAAAAGAAAAAAAAACCATTCTTGCAGCCCATTCACATGATCGGATTTTATGTGGCATGGATTTTATGAGATTTATTCATCTTTCTCTCCCCCACCCCCCGCCCCTTCTTCTTTTTTTACTTTTTTTTTTTACAGAGGGATTTCACAAGTATGTCGACAAAGAGACAGAGCAGGGGAAAAACAAGGCACTGTGAGATATAAGCAGGTAGCCAGTGATCAAAGCGGTGGCCCAGACAACCCAATTTTCAAGCCTCTGGCCAAAATGTCGGCCTTGCTGAAACGAAATGAATGGAAAACCGGGAGGACCAGGAACTTTATAACATGAGAGCTAGAGACAGGAAGAGCAATTTCTAGAAAGAGCCGCAACCGTTGTGCCATCCTGCCTACTTAAAGCTGTAGATAGTTGGGAGATTCTCTGCTTCTCTTTCCGTAAGTGTTGGACCCTACATTGGTAGGTGCGTAGATGGTCCCGATGGTGTTGCTGGACCGGACCAGGAAGTCTGCCAAGCGTTGTGTCACACACGTGGCCGTGTTGCACTTCCGTTTGTCCAGATGGTGGCTGTTGGTCGTTAAAAGAAAATAAATTGAACAAACAAACTGATAAATAATAAATAAAAGCAAACACACACACACACACACACACAGAGAGAGAGAGAGAGAGAGAGAGGGAGGGAGGGAGGGAGAGATAATCCCCTTCCATAACCATTTTTACAACATATAACAGGTTAGTGTATGCTTTTAATAAATGCTTTATATTTACTCTTATCAATATTTTGGGGGGGATTTTTGCAGGTAACAAGAGTGTAAACTCCATGGATGAAAGTCACTTCACCTATGGCCTTTCTAATTCTCCTTGAAAGCATTTAGCAAGAGCAAGAGTACTTAGACTTATATACCGCTTCACAGTGCTTTAACGGCCTTCTCTAAGCGGTTTACAGAGTCAGCATATTGCTCCCCAATAATCTGGGTCCTCATTTTACCAACTTGAGAAGGATGGAAGCCTTGAACCCATCAAGATCAAACTTCTGGCAGTCGGCAGAATTAGCCTGCAATACTACAATACTGTGCCACCATGCCTCATTTAATGACTGTTACATCGGTGAGAGATCCATGGCCTCTCTGAGCTTGGGTTATTCTTTTCTTGTAGATGTTTCCTTACCCAAACCAGGTAACATCATCAGTTCACTAGTTTCAGAGGTGGTATTCAGCCAGTTCTGACAGGTTCTGGAGAACCGGTAGTGGAAATTCCTAAAGCTGGGAAGACAACTGATGGAGAATTGGGACTTTGAAAACAATGGGTGGTTTTGGCTGGAACAGGCCTACTGTTCTCTAGCTCTGAGGTAACCCTAACACTGAACTTAATAGCCATAGGATGCTTGCAGAATTTGAGAAGGTATTTTTGGAAGGGGTGGATAGTAGATGAGAATAGAATATTTTGAAGGGGTCTATCTAGTTAGCTACAGAGAGAATCTCTTTGTTCTAGGTTCTAAAGCGATAATTACTATGGTCTCCTTAATCAGTAGAAACTGCCCACTATGAGGTTGAGTTTCTACATTTTTCAGGCACACAAATCCCAAACTTCCTTCTCAATCTGATTGAGAAGAAAACTTCACCAAAGTGTAAAATGTTTTATCAATAAAGTGAATATGACTATATTGTGAAAATCTAGTCTGGTTTTTTTTTCCTTCAGGTGTAAATTGGCCTGAAATCCAACAGACAGAGCTGAATTAGTGAGTTCTCCATGCCACCAAAGTATAAGATTGCCTTATTTTTCTGTTAAGGTACTTGATAGACCAATCTTCTCTTGAAATTATCCATGGGAACAATCTTCAAAAGGATGCTATAGCTGTAGAGGCAGCACAATGGCAAAAGGTGTGGAAAGGCCTCCGTAGTTTGATGGAATCCCATCAAGATGATAGATCTCAGAACACTTCGTATTTTCTTTGTGAAAGGGAAGAGGGGAGCAAATTATGAAACTCAATTTGTGAAACCAATATCACGGTTGTATTGAAGCTAAATGAAGGCTGCCTGGCTACCTTGTTCCAGACCGGGCCAATCTTATTCATGTTAGTGGGTGATAAATTTTTATTTACAAAATGGAGTAAAACTGTGAAAATTCTTTAAATCAGAAGTGAGTTGCATCTCGGGCAGACGCTGCCTGAATTAAATGAAGTATTTTATTGAAGGAGTTTTGATAGCAGACCAGGATGAAAGATGTGTATTTAACAGTCATAATTAATGCAGAAAAAAAACCTTTTATAAACCCCTTGATGTATTCTTCTCGAGGTATGAGGTAGGAAAAAAAAAAGGATTTCCCTTGCAGATTTTATTAAGGTGATCACAGTTTTATTCAGCATCTAAAAACATTCAACTCTACCATATGCACCATAGATGCTGCACCATAGAGAGTATCTTAACTTACTGCAGCTCTGTATGGTTTGCCAATTGCACAGTGGCAGATAGGACAGCACTCCAGAGGGTTAATGTCATTGCCCAGAAGATCATTGGTTGCCCTCTCCCCTCTTTGGAAGAGCTTTATAGCTCCCGCTGCCTTAAGAAAGGTCAAAACATTCGCAAAGATCCATCTCATCCTGGGAACCCTTTTTTTGAACTATTACCATCTGGCAGATGGTACAGAATAATAAAAACAAGGACCAATAGGCTGAAAAACAGCTTCTATCCCAGGGCAGTAACTCTGTTGAATTCTACTGTATAGTGCAATATTAATGCAATATCAGGGGTTTTCAATTCAGCTATATAAGAATGTGAAGGATGTGTGTGTTCATTTTCATAGTCATAATGTACACTGAAGATGGCATTTAATTTTGCTGTACGAGGTGCAACAACAATAAAGTAAACCCCCCTCCCCCCCAAAAAAAACCTAAACTAAACATAAAACTAACCTGGGCAGTGCTGAAAGTGTTGGGATTTCAATTTTCAGGATTAGCAGAAGGCTCACAAAACACACAAATATAAATTGCACTACTTGATTTGCTGATCGATCCCCATCTCATGTCTTTGGCCCTCAGTAGAATGAGGGGAGTCAAAAGATTAGCATCACTTAGTGCATGTAGACCCTGACTTACAACCATTCGTTTAGTGACTGCTCAAAGTTACTGAAAAAAGTGACATAAGCTATGACCATTTTTTCACACGTACAGCCATTCGCAGCATCCAGGTCGTCACGGGATCAAAATCCAGCCACTTGGCAACTGGCGTGTAATTATGACGGTTGCAGTATCCCGGGGTTTGTGAACCTCTGACGAACAAAGTCAGTGGGAAAAACTGGATTCACTTAACAACCGTGTTACTAACTTAAGAAACAGATAACAGATAATCAGAGTTGGAAGGGACCTCATAGGTATGTGATGCGAACCTATGGCACGTGTGCCACAGGTGGCACGCAGAGCCATTTGTGCCGGCATGTGAGCTGCAGGCAAACTTACCTCATTGGGCATGCACGCACTTCACAGCTGATTTTTGGTTGGTTTGAGGCCTTTTTCGGCCTCCCAAAGGCTTGAGGAAGGCTTCTGCAGGCTTCTGTAGGCTCTGCAGGCCGAAAACTAGCCCTGTTTTGTCACTTCCTGTTTTTCAGAAAATACTGGAAGTGACGAAATGGGGCTAGTTTTCAGCCTGCAAATCCTGCAGAAGCCTGCAGAAGCCTTCCTCAAGTCTTTGGGAGGCCGAAAAAGGCCTCAAACCAACTGAAAATCAGCTGTGAGCTGCAGTGCAGATAAAGGGATGGCAGGGGTGGGTGGGGATTACGTGCGCATGTGTAGGGGGCAACTGCAGTGATTCGCTTCATGGTTGCCACAAGGCAGAGGGGGAGAAAGGGAAGGGGAAAATTAGATAGCTGAGGTTTTGCAGTCAAAATAAAAAGTTTTCTTTTAGGAACCAAGTTCATTCTAGCGGGTGCCTGAGAAGAGGAGGAGTGGAGTAACCAAGCAACCTGCCAGAACGTCTATTGGACAAAGTGACCAGTGATCTGAGGGGAAGGGGGAACTTTCACTTTTTAATCAGGTGAAAATCGCGGGAACTTTCAGAGTCAGTTTTCACCAGTTGTGCCAATATGATGTGTCCTATAAATTGTTCTTTGAGGAATCTACCTGCCCAGGAGTTCTGCTTTCTATGGGTGCATTACTTGGAATGCTGACAGACTACCCGCACAGGTTTCATCCATGCTAGCTCACTACCTGGATTAAACTTGTGCAGGTTGTTTGTCAGCATTCCAAGTAATGCTTTAATCCATGCTAGCTCACTACAGTGGGATGCATGGCTCAGTAGCTAAGATGCTGAGGTTGTCAATCAGAAAGGTCGGCAGTTCAGCGGTTCGAATCCCTAGCGCTGCATAATGGAGTGAGCTCCCGTTACTTGTCCCAGCTTCTGCCAACCTAGCAGTTCGAAAGCATGTAAAAATGCAAGTAGAAAAATAGGGACCACTTTGGTGGGAAGGTAACATCATTCCGTGCACCTTTGGCATTTAGTTATGCTGGCCATATGACCATGGAGATGGCGCCGGATCTTCGGCTTTGTAACAGAGGTGAGCACCACCACCCTAGAGCTGGAAATGACTAGCATGTATGTGGGAGGGGAACCTTTACCTTTACCTTAGCTCACTACAAGAATCTGAACTACTAACAGTCAAGGTAAACTGGCAGTAAATAAGAGTCAATGGAATTCAAGGTGGGCTGGACTTAGATCTCTGGTGGATTCCAAACTGATGACGCACTTGACCCCTCCCTTGGGCTCAGCCTGCTCATCTCTTCCATGAACCTTTCTTTAGATCATGCAGAATTTCATCAGAGAGACCTATTCAAGGCTTAGGGAGGGTTTCAGAGCAGATATTTTAAAATAGATAATTGAAAATAAGCACAGTTCTTGTATTTTCAAGGTTCATCAATCGGAGCAGAAGACAAGGCATCACATGAACACCTTTCTCCAACTGGTGTACATTCCAGTTGTGTTGGGAGTGTAATGTTTTGAATTCCTAGCTGGAACAAAAATCACACTGACAAAATTTCATGGGTGCTATAGACCCAACCAGCACAGAAACCAACAAGTGTGCGGAAAGTTGCTGTAAATAAACAGATCTGTGTTAATCATGCAAGCAGGTGAAGGTACAGAAGAGCTTAAATGTGATTTTTTTTTCCAAAGCAGCACCTTCAGGATATAGCCAAAAAGGGGAAATTATACTATCATTTAGTCATTAAGCGGCAACAGTGACTCAATGTTTAGCTTTGGATGAGCTTTTAAAGGCTATTTAGAGCACTTACTGATAGCATGAGAAGTATTAGAATGACAGTCACTGCTATTGTCTCTTTTCCTGTGGCTGGTAGAAATCTAGCTACAGATTTCTCTGACTCCGTTCAAACTCTTTCTTACCCACCCACAGTTGTTGAGAGTTATCCCAATAAACGAGCATGGGAATTGCCAGTCAAACCACAACTTTCAATTAAAAAAATAAAAAAGTCCAGTTGCTTTTTGGAAAAGCACCTTTGGAACAACCAATCTGGATGATTGAGAACCTCCACAAAAATTTTCAATAAATCAAAGCTGTCCTGGGTCACAAAGATTAAAGGACTTGTCCTGAGTATAGCTGGGTGACAGAATGATTTAATAAGTTGTGTCACTTGCATAATTTGTGACATAATTACACTAAGGGTACCTATTGTTGCATTCTAATTGGCATTGAGGCGATATGTCACTTCTGAATGCCAGAAGTTCACAATGAATGCATTATTCTTTGTGCATGAAACTGTGTCTGGAGGCATGATATAAAATGTATTACAATTGTTCATATGTATTCTCAGGCCTCGTAATTCCTAAGAATATCACAGCCTTGCCACAAAAATGGTAAGCTGGTAAGATTGCCTTCTGTCATCATGAAGATTTGGTTTCCCCTTTATACCCGCTCTAGTTTAATTCCATCATTTCTTTCTCCTACCTCTTCTCCTGATTAAGAAAAAATGTTGCTTTTTCTTTCCAAGTCTTAAAAATGGACAATTCTTGGTTGATGACAAAACTGGTAACACTGTCCTGAGAATTCTGGCTCTCAACTTAAACTCCCCTAAATAGATACCCTAAAATGAACCCTGAGTGAGAGACAAAAATGATTCTTCCACTTGAAAAGTTTAAAATGGGACAGCAGCCACCCCTAACCTTACACGGGTGGATTTTATTTCCCAGAAATCCTCTGACAATATAGCCATTGCTGAAAATTCTGGGATTAGAGTTTACCTCTTTAAAAGGCAACCTAGTTTAAAGAACTTCTCAGTCATGTTCGGTTCATGATAATAGCACACCCCAGAAACACATTTTCATTTAACTGCTGAACAGGAGGAAAGATCTGTAACCTGGAAACTGTCAGTTTCCATTCTCCAGTTGTAACAAAATGAAGTGATACCGAAATGTTGATGTATGCTGTGACATCAATCCTGTAAGAGCCACAATTATGTTCTTGCATTTTGATGGCTGGCATTAGTACAGACATGACAACATGTATCGTATTTAAAAAAATCAGCAGAAACTATTTTTCTTCTGTTTAAGTATATTTGGAGCCACCTACCTTGAATATCTTGAAAAAAAGAAAGAAAGAAAGAAAGAAAGAAAGAAAGAAAGAAAGAAAGAAAGAAAGAAAGAAAGAAAGAAAGAAAGAAAAGGAGGGAGGAAGGGAGGGAGAGGGAGAAGGAGAAGGAGAGGAAGGAAGGAAAGGAAAGGAAAGTAAAAGAAAAGAAAAGAAAAGAGAGAGAGAGAGGGAGGGAGGAAAAGA